TTTTTTTTACAAAATTTTTTTTTACAAAATTTTTTTTTACAAAATTTTTTTTTACAAAATTTTTTTCCAAAATTTTTTTTTCTTACAATCTAAAAATAAAGCCTAAAAAATTATTTCGGCATAAATATCGCAGAGTTCATTTTAAATTTACAAAGGCTTTGTAATCAGATTATTTCTCTGTAAAATATTGAAGAATAACCTAAAATTATTCGAAATTTCCTCGACTTTTACAGGTAGGATTAAGCTAACAAATTTAATATCTTCCTATTCGTATAACGAACTTTTCTCTCTTTCTCTCTCTCTCACTCTCCCTCTTACTCTTCATGTCATACTCTCTCAAACTTTGAGTTCGAATAATTTAAGTGGAATAAGCCTATGACAAATAGTTACAGTTGTTTACTAGTATAAGGGGCAGACCAGTTAGATTATCTATAGTTCAAATAGTTTAAAAGCTCGGCCCAAATATTTACAGTACAGTAGTTATCACCTACGGTATTAAAAGTGTCCTTACAATATTAGAATTTTATGTTCTACACGAATAAAGTGTGACAGTGGGCAAAGAAGTTCTGCAAAGATGTTCAAAGTAAGTATCACACAAGANGTGCTTTCAACGAATTTTTCTCTTTTCGGTTTCGGCTCATTTTTGGAGCGCCACTAGCTAGATTGTTGGACTCTCTCGACGTCATGTTCATACACCCACATCTCGTCAACAGTAATGTTGCGTTTGTTGAATGTAAGGTCCTAAGCTACTTTGGCAAGCTACTCTTTTGCGACCTCGAATACGTTTTTGCAAAAGATTTAGGTCTTTTGGTACGAGTCTACATAGACACGCTTCATGCCTAAGACATTAACCAAAATGTGTGGAGTCGATTCATAAGAGATGCTGAGAGGCTCTGATATTTTTTGATGCCAAAACAACAGTTTCTAAACACAGTTTCTTTAACTCTTTCGATGTTATCGTTCTTAACACTAGAACTACGAACCGAACTTTTTGGTTTAAAGTCTTCACATTTATATAAAATTACCGAATTTGACGGTTTTTGGCTCAAAATTTATTTTAACGCTTAAGGAAAGCATGTTTAAGATTTTTTTTAAAACTCCAATAATGACCACAAAAATTTTTGTTAAGTTAATAAATTTTCATTGCCCAGAAAGAGGACTCTCCACAGCTTCTAGAACACTTCTCAAAAATTTTTAACGAAATAAAAATTTTACCACGAAATTTACTTGAAAAGCGAGTGTCTAGGTGTTAAAAAAACTTTTTTTTACAAAATTTTTTTTTACAAAATTTTTTTTTACAAAATTTNGGGCAAAGAAGTTCTGCAAAGATGTTCAAAGTAAGTATCACACAAGAACTATTCACTCAAAATGAAAGCTAAAAACTTATGATAGTTCGAAAAGTTCGACACTTTCAGCAGCCGAATTACGAGGTCACCAAATTGCCACATGCAACGACTGAAAGTGTTGGCATTTATTTGCCGTTGGCATCTTTCCGCTGCGCGTAAATTTAAATTAACGGACCTGCGGCGATTTGCACTTTGTGTGCATAAGTATACATGCATGCATACACACACATACAAACTCACACATGACACAACTACTGCTGCTGCGCCTTTTGACCTTAAGCGTTAATTCATTTCAGCAGTTTTTGTAATTCGTGCAGCGAACTTTTTCCGTCCGGGTCCTTCGCAGCTGCCGCGCCCAGCCCGGTTCCAGCCAAACTTTATTAGCCATTCACATACTTTTACTCTTGTAAAATTGCAAAAACGTGCACTGCACACACACACCTGCACCTGCAAGATGCCAACACAAAAATGCTGGAAACTATGTGAAAGCAAGGTAACAAAATTTTAAAAATAAATTAAAACAAAAATCCAAAAAAAAAATATATAAATCAAAAGAAAATTATTAAAAAACACACAGCAAAAAGTCAGGCGACACATTCGAAACGTGTCCCTTTTAATGAGTTCCACACCTACCAACGCACACACACATACACAGCTTTAGCTTTGAAAAATATTAATTTCGGTTATGAGTCAAATGAACATCGATTGGTTGTTTTTGCTTTTGCTAGTCGGTCTGTAAATCGGTCAGCGCTTCGATTTGTTGGTATGTGTGTGTGCGCCCTGCATTTAGTTGCACGAGTGCTTTTAATACCTCGCATGATTTATGTAACGAGTTTTTAATCAATGTACAATGTTCAGGTACATTCTTTGTTTGAAACTTATTTCCCTTAACTTATTTTATACCTTTTTTTTAATTTTTTTTTTTTACTTTTTAAAGTCTCATCAAACTGTTGGACCGCACAGGTCGAAGGATATTCATTGAACTGCTGCGGCAATCAGCAGTTATGTCAGTGTGGCCAACTTGTGCAAATTATGAAATATTGCAAAAGATTGTATCGACTACGTGGTCGCCTTGCTGATGGCTGTTGAAAAGCGTAAATTTACTTTGAATCTATGCCGGTGCAGGGACTGCTTAATTGCAATCATTTATTTCTGAAATTTGAAAGAGAAAATGAAAACTGGAGAGTTGCAGGAATTAATACTTTTAAAACTGTCTGTGCATATATATTGAACAAAAGGATTCCGAGTCCTTTGCTCAACAACACTACTTTTTTTGGGTAACTTGAAAACATTTCTTGCTATGCCAATAGATTACATTCTTGCAGAAGATTTCATAAAATAGCACACAATGTAGGTCTAAACAACCAAAAACATCCATAAGTCCCAATGAAACACGTTTAAAACCTAATTTTAAAATTTTTAACAATGCCAACTATCTAACCCCTAAAAAGTTAACACTTCATTCAATTTTTGAAAGATCCCGTCTCTTTCTAGTTTTTCATGCAGTAATCACAATCTCGGCGTCTACAAAATAGTTCGCGACGAAGTCTAATAGAAATAAATGTTAATCTTTTGTATACACCAAAAAGTATAAAAAAATAAATAAGTGGCCACTCTGTTCACGAATATTTATATTTAAGTAATACTGCTGCTTTTCAATTTGAACTCTTTTTGTGGCTGCTCGCGTTTAAAAAGATTTTATGCATGCCGGTAACAACCTCTTACCTATCTCCATAACAGATGCGGTTGGTGTGCTGCCATAGGTGTATATTTTTTAAACCGAAAACAGTCTGAAGTCAGTTGCGTTCTACAAATAGAGCAGGGTCGATAATTACTGAAACCGAAAAAAATAATAGGAGAATTAAACTCATTGGAAAAAGAAGATAGCATAACAAAAATGAGAAAAAAAATATTTACGGGCACCCTGTGGTCGGGACGTGGAAGGCTGGTTCAGTTTTTAAGGGATAAATATAAAACTGATTTCCGGTACAACTGCAAGTGATATGGAAAAAATTTTAATAGCAAAGTTGTAAGTAATAAAAAGATCTACAACTTTTGTGTGAACACTATTTTCACATAACCTCAAAATTCTTGTGAGAAATTCAGATAACAAAGTTTTTGATTTTTTATGCTCCTCTTCTACAAAAAAAATTTTTTTTTTTATGAAACGGATAAATAAATATTTTATGTCCCAAACGTAATGTTTTTCGACTTAAAATATTTATTTTTTCAACTTATTATACCCTAAACAGGGTATATTAAGTTTGCCACGTAGTTTGTAACACCAAGAAGGAAACGTCGGAGACCCTACAAGTATAAAATATATACATAAATTATCAACATGATGAGCTGAGTTGATTTAGCCATGTCCGTCTGTCGGTCCGTCTGTCCGTCCGTCCGTCTGTATATGTACAAACTAGTTCCTCAGTTGTTAAGCTATCGATCTGAAATTTTTCACCTGTCCTTTTCTTACTAAAAAGCTGCTCATTTATCGGAACAGGCGATATCGGACCACTATAGCATATAGCTGCCATACAAACTGAGCAATTGGAATCAAGTGTTTGTACGGAAAACTCTTTCATTTGACGAGGTATCTTCACGAAATTAGGCACGAGTTATTATTTAAGGCAACAATGTATTCTCCGCAGAAATTGTTCAGATCATATCACTATATCTAATAGCTGCCATACTAATTGAACGTTCGGAAACAAGTTCTTATAAGGATCCCTTGTATTGGTAAAGGATATTATAGCTACGGTGCAATCGAAATTAACGTTTTTTCTTGTTTTTGCTTAATATCGAAAAGGCACACCAATTTCCAATCGAAAATTCTCACGTCAAAATTTCTGTTTTTTTTTAATTCAATGAGTCAGTTATGATTCCCATTACTTACCGAAATTAAATTACCATTTCACTTATAAAGCAAAGTTTGATTATCCAACAAATGCCTTGACGAACTTTGCAAAGGGAACTTGTCTAGTTTTCCTAGTCTAATTTTACTTGCTATAAGCCGAATGACCAAAGTCACTATTTTTTACAGCGCCATTCTCCCCGGGTATTTCTTTAGCTACCTTGCGTTAATATCTTTGCACCTGCCATAGGTTTCAAATTTTTCACGTATCAAGGAGCTCAAGAAATTTTTTAAGAGTACATACTACGAGAGAACCAGTGCAAAAGGTCAGACCAAAAAATTATTAAGGAATGAAAAATCTAAAGCTTTAATAAACAATCATCAAGCATTAATTTCCTACAAATTGACACGTTTCATAATTCGGTGTCACTGCTTTCATCGGCATTTTCCGTTGCCGACAGAGCCCTCAACTGAAAACTTTCCACACAACTATTTACCAGTAAGGCTTCACTACACTCACCAGCTGAAAATAGTAACACTACTTATGAGATTAGGATACGATATTTTGCCGAGCGGATTTTAGCACGCAAATTAGGTATCATTGTAGGAAGGTCAAATGCACAATACAATCCAATTTACAATTGCCATTATCCGTATGAAATCCGACTCCACCGTCGCACATCCACACAAACAGATAGGCTCATAACAATATAGACAGCTGCTATTGCTTCATTTCCAAAATAAGGTACAAAAATAACATTATCATAAACACATTATTATGCTCAGAGTACGTCCGAGTCGATAGTTGGCAGGACGACGACAGTAACAAAGTCAACGATCAAAATGGAGAAACAAAACAAAAAATACCGAAAAGCCATCGTTAGGCATAAAAGTGTGGGCAGGTGAGAAAAATAGACGACAATCAGCGCCAAATCAAAATCGATAAAGCCAATAGTTGACGAATAATGTAGAGCAAATTCAAGCGAGCTAAGCCAAAAGTGGACAGATTCATGCTTGTACCGTTATGTGTGCAGTGCTTTGGGTAGAAATGGTGGAAGTCACTTGTATAGCAACAGCACTCAACCTTTATTAGTGTCAATCGAAAAAGGGCGCGCACCCTACGACCCTCATCTTGCGAGCACATAACTACGTTTGTGCATAATATTTTAACATTGAAAAATATACTCTAATTTTGTTAGGGATTGGGTACATTCGGCTTGTACTTTCGTTATTGTGTGCACAAGTTGAAATGGTGTTTACGGAATAAGGACATATTCATAAGGACAATTCATGCATAAGCATGTTTTTTTTTTTGTTTGTTCTTCGGTCTATCAACTCACACTACTGACCTATGAAATATTAAATGGAAACAATTTAACAACGTTTATTTTTTTTAACAGCAAAGTTCTAAGAATCTCGAAGCAAACCCCGAGTAACGGCATATTATTGTTCTTTCAATGAAGTTTCCATGAATTTATTGCAAGACACCAAAGACTACTGTGATTTTATACCGAGACATTTTTTAAAGATTTTCTTTCTTAGCTTTAAATAGGAATACCCATTAAATACTGGGCTGTTGTTAGGTTTCCGAAGAAAGTTTCGTAAAATTTTAAAGGGTTGTAGCTAAAAAACTTTCATACGCATAAAATGAGAAACCCCCATCCCACTAAAAATTTCAAGCAAATCGGTCGAAAAGTTCTCGCGTTATGAACGTGAAAATTGGCAATTGGTAGGCCTTTGAGAAGAACATGTTTAAGTTGCCAAGTTCGACTGATTTTTGCCAAATTCGTCATTATAACGCTTTGAGTTTTATCAAATCACTTTAGAAGATGTACCCGAGTCGATTAACAAACCCAGTATTACACTCGTATTGCTGTAAATTCCTACAACTTTTATGTTTTGCGATTTACCCAACGCTTTTGCTCTTACTTATGATTTCTGTGCCGTTGTGTGTCTCGTTTTTTCGTCTATTTGCGAGCATTCAAATTTATGCGCCAAATATTATGCAACAAATTTTTCCCACTTAACTGTATTTGAGCAACTGCCGCTGGAGCTCGTGAATTTAGCATTTTACTACGTTCATGTGCACATACATAACTGCGCATAGGTACGTACGTCCCGCTACATATTTATGTAATCGTCGTGCAGCTAAGTAGGTATGCGAGAGTTTTTATTATGCAAATTTCGTGATATCAAGTATTTCTCTCGTCGATTCGACAATAAAATGAGTGAAATGTACAAAGAAAAATTTTACCTTTGCTGCAGTGCCCACACGTCCCGAAAAAGCCTTACACCATACCTGAGCGCGTCTTGTCCGCCTTGCACCGCCGCTAGATGACTCACTCGCGCCGCCAATGGCAGTTTTAGCACAGCAATTCAGCTAGTGCATACTTCTCCACGAACTATTCATAATGTGACTTACTTAGTTACCCACTAAGCTGCCACTTTCGGCCGCCTTTTGTGGCTCCACAGTCGGCTACTGCTGCGCGCTTACCTTTTTCAGTCATTTTATTTACTCTGCGGAATTCACTAAGCAGCTAAGAAAGGGAAATATTTGCAATAGTCGAAAAAACTTTGAAGAAAAATGGTGAAGCCAAGTTGTAGGTGCCAACACTTTAATATGAAATATGCATGTGTATAGGTAATAATGGTGCGGTTGTGCGTTTGTCGTGGCATTTTTCCACTTTTATATATTTTTTCATTTACTCTCTCACGGTCGCTTTCGAAAATTTCTCAAATAACATAGATTTTCAAGTCAATGAAAAACACAAACGCACACACACACACACACTAGTTAATATACATATTTCTTTTTAAATATATGTTTGTGCATATATCTGGCATAGGTATGATGTATGTAGGTATAGGCGTATGCTCACCAGCCAGCCAACTTTACGACTATTTCATAGTGCTGACAAAAATGAGATTCTCTCGCCTTTTTATGTCTGCCCTTTCTTTACGAGTGCGTGCGTGTCTGTGCGCCAGGTACAGCTGTAAGTCTTATTTTGCTTTGGCGCAAGCACAGGCGACGGAGTAAGTTGAAATTTGTGCTAGGAATTTGCATACGGCTTGCCTCAACCGCTGCACAACCAGCTGAAACGAGTCAGCCTTTAAGGCGCGCGCACTTGCTACGCCTACTGGCATCTTCGAGTGAATATTGCCCATATTATGGAGAAAGTATATATCCAATTTGGTTGTCGCCTCTTACCTGTGCACATGTATAGGTGTGTTGTGTGCACTCACACACGCATGCATTCCCCATCAATTGTGTATATATTTACGAATTATTTGCATTTTATTTGTGCATACTTTCTTTGCTTTGGCCTCGTGCAACATATTTGCATGCCTTCAACGCCTATATTTTCACACCGAGAATGTAACCCAGTAAGCACATGTGCGCTTATGGTTTCTTGTCTCACAGAAGTGAAAAAAAACCGTTAGAGTTCCGAAATCATTCGTTTGTATATTTATGCCAAGTTGCAACATTTTGCAGAAAGCTTTGACTTTGACTTTTGACGAATATTTTAGCACTGCTTTGTACAATAATCTATGCCAAATTTCGTAAATATAGCTCGTCAATAAAAGAATTTTGCATGCAAGCATTTGATTTTGATCGTTCAGTTTATAAGGCCGCTATATGCTATGCTGATCCGATATTGGTGGTTGCAACAAATTAACAGATTTTCGGGGAGTAAAAGACGTGTGCAAAACCGATTTTTCTAAAATTGAGCTAATACTTCGCATATACACTCCTACAGGCTGACCGACGGACATGGCTAAATCGACTCAACTCGACACGCTCATCATTTGGCTTAGCTCCAAAAAACGAAAACTTGGTTCGCTGGGCAACCCGCACTGCACCGCCCTAGTAGTCTAATGCAAAATTTATGCACATCCGAAACTTTCGACATAAAATTCGATATATTTTTCTTTGGTGAGATATATGAGTATGCGATATCCGACTTCCACTTCAAGCTGCAACAACAACAACAACAATAATGGCAAGTACATAACTCAATGGTGCTGCCAATACCAGCGGCAGTCTTACTTGCATTTTCGCACGTCGCCTCTCCCCAACACCTTAATCGACTTTTCGTTTTATGAGTTTGTCATCGCTGCAACTTGCTTCGCCTGCACAGCATCAATACTCAGTTTTATTTCATTAAATTCACTTGCTCGTGTTGTCGTTGTTATTTTGTCGCAACTATTGTAATTTGCATTTCTTCGTTTGCACCGTGCAACAATTAGAACGGAGCGCCAACAACTGAAGTAAGCAACTACTCGACGTTGCAAGGCATTCAATTACACACACTTTACATAGCACTTGGTTGCAGTTAGTGATGAATGTTGCAAGTTCGCCAGCAGTTGGTTGCCGTTCGGCAGCAGAGTAAACTGCGAACGGAAGTGTTGCACACCGCGACAGTTGACTGTATTGAAAAGTAACAGTTAATTTGATAGGAAAATTTCTGCTCCAACTTTTCGCTCGTATCAAATAATTACAATTAAAATAAATGCTATTCTACAACTTTGTTTGTTGACTTTGTTTGCGAACATTTCAGATATTCCTGGGCGTCGGGCGATGGTCCGGAGGTAGCTGAAAATATGGCTGTGCAAGATGTTGCAAGTTTAATAACTAATTTATTGCTGTGAATTTATTTACTTGCAACAATAAAATACATGTAATTGGCTAAATATTTGCTGGTAAGTACACGAACTAATGAAACAAAACTAAAGTGTGTGAAGTATAGTACACCTGTAGGAGCGAAGCAGCCAGATAAGTGTGGACCACCAATGTGTCTGTGAAAAGTTGTTCGCTGGCTTGAGAACTGCCTGCCACCAAAGTCAGTCAACGCCTTCAAATTGATGGCGCTTTAATAATGCGTGCCGAAAATATTCCTACGCTAGCAGCAAAAGAATGGGAAAGGCTGCTAAATTCGATGGCCGTTAACAGCACAACTCTCTCATGGAGATGACTTGGCGCTACAACATAAAAGCAAACAAGAGATCAACCAAATTACCTTCTTTATAAAAGGTGTATATTTTTGCTTTAAGTATAAATCACCTAATTTAATCGCTGGAGAGCTGCACAGGAATTTCAAGCAGCACTTATTTCAACAAACCAAAAAGTAAGATGTTTTGGAGATTGAAGAAGAAAAGATCTAGATATATTACAAAACAATCAAATTCATGTTTTAGACCATCTAAAATATCAACAGAATTTTACTAAAGCGTTTCCGATATATTATTTAAAATTCCACATGAGTCTTTGTCATTTCTTTCTTCTTCTGGAATCCTAAGTATCTTTGCCAGAATCTAGAATATTGCATCACAGTCGTGTTACAGACCGGCATAAATCCAAAATGACGAGATCGAATACTTTTGCACATGATGTCTTATAGAGACATGCCTCTTTTCCGGCTAAAAACAGAGAATATGTACTTTTTTAAATACTTTTTCAACTGCAAGAAAACTACAAGAAAAAGTTTTCACTTCCTAAATCCTATCTCACTATTACTTCCTTTGACCATCTTTGTTAACAACTCGTCTTATAACCGACATTTCTAACAACAATTCTTGCTTTCAAACTCCACTGCTAATCCTACACAGCCCTGCAAGAAAACCAAACAAAGTCAACTGTAATTGTAATTTCAATTACTCTACTTCAGCACTCAACTCGACTCCACCGTGGCGCACTTCATTACAAATCCGATAATATCAGTGACGGCGCTAAGCAGTGAACGAACTTTAGCCGAGCTGAGCAAACAGTGCCGGTGAGCCTCAATACTACTGGCTGTCGCCTTCAAAGCCGGCTTATTAGACGACGCACTGCATGCTCACCTTCGGCTTACCTCTGGCCACACCTCGGCAGCACCCGCAGCCAGGTATTGTCGCTGTCTGTCATTAATTTCAATTCAATTTATCTTCGTTGGTGGGTCGCGTATACTACAGATGCAGCCAATGTTGTTGCTACCCAAAAAAACAAGCAACAGCAGTGGTAACGGCAATTGTTGCTTGGCATTTACTGTTGCTCGCTCGCTTCTTTACTTTTTGCAAATGAGCATGAGCAATCGTCTGTTCCGGGTGCCGTTGCATACGAACGCAGAAGCGTGCAATCGCCGGCAATAATTCGCTGCTAACGCCAAAGGTAAATGTGTTCGATGCAATTTGGTGAGGTGGATGGGCAGCTGCAGCCAACTGAAACTCGTATTGTTTGTGCGACTAAGCAGCAGGTGGCGGCAACTTGAGTTTTGGCAAACTACTCCACTGCTCATTTCATTTCAATCTACTCACTACAGCTGGCTGCTCATTGTCCGTTGCTCATTGCTGTCTGTTCAAAACCAAAGTCAATTGTGTACAGTACAAACATGCGAACAATTAATCAAGTCAACCTTTGCCACAAACACTTCAACATTTTCACTGCCAGCAACCAAGCAACCAACTCGCCGGCCGATCGAGCAGACAGCCAGACAGACAGTCGGATAGGCGAGCAAGCAAACCAAATCAGGCACCATAATTCTGCTCGTGTGCTCATGTACTTGTCTTACTGCGAACTACTACCTGCTCTCTCGCCTTTTCCATCTTTGTCTTTGTCGCTCATTCGCTGCTTCATTGCACACACCGCAGCGGAAGTGCGAGTGTGGAGCTTGGCACAGCCAACGATTTGAATCGCCTTTACGATTCGATCAGCTGCAGAAGTGCTTTGTGTTGTTGTTTTTGTCACTATTGTTTTTGTGTTTGTTAAGTAGCAGTTAGTTCTGGTTGTTGTTATTGCAACTAAAACATACAACAAACACTCAACATGGCAGCTAACAGCAAAATCAAATAATGCAACGGTGATGGAGTTGAAGGCTGACAGGAGCACCACAAAAGACAAAGGCAGCCAGAGTTGCCAAATCGACAGATGACCTTTGTGTGATGCTTTGGGCGCAAAGACTTAATGTTTTCAACTGGGTACGGGAGTTTACCCATGTTGTCAAACAATTAACCAGAATATATATAATCAAGCCACTTCACATCAGTTTAAGGATGCGACAGCCTAAAACAAGGTGACTTTTGAGTATTAAAATAAAAAACTAAACAATTGTTTAAAAATTTTATTAAGGATATATTATAGATATTTTAGGAATACGCAGTAAAGTTTGTTAAGAAAAAAATTAAATATTCTCCGAATTACAGGCGAACTCAGACGGTGCTGGAGGTCCTCCACTACACAATGATTCCGACCTTCTCCATGAATGCAACCTAAAAAAAAATTCTAACATACGCACTATGGTCTGCGGTTAAAAATATATATAAATAAATTTGACGAAATTGAATTTTAAAAAAAAGTTGAATATCTTTCGAAATGTTGGTATTTTTGGTCTACCAAAATTCTATTTTGGCTCATACCAAAAAACTGCTAGGTCATTGTATCAAATTTAAAAATATAGTTATAGCCTGTAAATCAAAAACTATTTTAGATATCGCTATAAATTTTTAGTATGTTTTTTTCAAAAGTACTACCTACACACTGGTTGCGCCTCTGAAACTTGCTCAGCTAATGAAGAAATAAATTTACGGTTCTGTAATCAAATAACTAAATTTTCGTATACAGAGGGAAGATTTTTTTTAAAATTACTTGTACAATAACTACGACAGAAAGTGGGTTTGGCCACAAATATGTGTACAGCTATTTTAGACTCCCTAAAACCCGCGTTCTTCACTAATCGCTGTATTCATACTGACTTTTTCAGGCACGATGGCTACCCTGCTAACAACACAGTTAATGTGCGCGTCTTCTCCGCGCCCATTCATCGCACGCACAATCATTAATTTGCTAGCAAATTGTGTGCGTATCTGTTCGATAGCAACTCGAGATTTTCATTGTTTCTCCGAGCAGCTAACTTAACTAACCGGCGGCACGTGTGCGCCTGTATTGAACGGAGGAAGCTATAACAACTACACACTCACACATGCTGGCGTAAAAGCGTGGTGTGTGCCAGCGTTTAATCAGCTTTGCTCGCCTTACCGCACATGCTCGGGCGTTCGAGCTGCAAGTGTGCATGTATGCATGTATGTAACGGAGTTTATATCTATGAAGTTCTTACTTTTTATTTGCCCTTACATAGTTTTTGCCCGTTCTCCCACGGGCACACGGGCACCTTACAAAGGCATTTGTTGAAGTGATTTTCCTTGTTTACTATCAACTCGCTTTTGTTTATTCTTTGCCGTATTTGTTGCAATGTACTTAACTGTTTGCCGCGCGCTCGCCACATTTATAAGCATAATTGACAATTGAAATTAATTAGTACGTTTTTGTTGGAGCTTATATTGTACTTCAGCTGCATTCTCCCTACAACATCGCTTAAGAGCTGAAGTCGCACTTTTTGTTGCCTACTTTTAAGCGCCTTAACTACATACTGCATGTGAGTATTTCCTCTGATTCAGAAGTTTTTGTTTATTGCTCTGCTCTTCTTGGCATCGTTTTTCATGTTAAATGTCTTTGCTTTTTATTGCGTTCACTTTCTCGTTTTTGCTCTCTTGCCTCTCCCCTTAAGTATTGCGCGTTGTTAATTATTTGTAACGTCTGCATGTCTTCTCACTAATAGCGGAGCACTCATTATATAAAACCAAACAAAGAAACTAATTGAGAAAATGGTGCAGATTCCTATTTCTCTTTAAATTTTTTGCATTTTAATAGAATTCGCATATTTTTTTTTTGTACTCTTTAGCAACTTATAAGAGTAAAGGTTTCAAGTACAATAAATTGAGTAAAGATGTACACGCTTTCTTCGACAGTTGAAATTGGTTTTTATCAAAACATAAAGTCAAGTTCAGTCAAGAAGATCTTTACTTTTTGAAAAAATTTTGAGAACGGTGACATAACAATTTTTACATAGAATCGAAAAAATTTCCTTTTACCAATAAGAGTACCATTTGGTATTTAAATACGATTCACTACAAGTATATCATCTCAACTATATTGATTTTCTTGTAATAAACAAAAATATTTGCTAAATAATTATCACGAGTTCAGGCTAGAATTCAGCCTTTGCTCAGCTATAGATGGAGGACTGAATTAAAGTCAACAATGCAGCGCCCACACTGCTTGAAAAACTATGGATCCAAGTGCACTTCTTGCTTAAGCTTGCCACTGAAAATGACTTTCGAGCATTCTCTTTAAAAGCATATCAAATGAACCGACTAGCAAGTTGAAGTTATCTTGCTTTAACAGACATAGAACTTACTTTTGCGTTACTGATGCTCACTACAATTCTCATTTCTGAATGGTTTTATGAAATGAGATATTCATGAGATATTCATTGCCATGCCTCATAATCTGATTATCTTAATTTGTATTTTATAAACATGTTCTTCTGCAAGCGATTGTGTCTTTTTGAAACATGTGCTTCAAGCGCTTAACCTCAAGCATATTTACACGCTTAGCTTTATGCTCCCACACCTTTAGTAACACAGACAACTCTTACGTCACACTGTACTTATACTATTTGCATGTACATACATACATACATGCAAATGTGGAAAAACTTTCCAATGCTTGCAAATCATTTCGATTCTCACGTGTAACTGAGCCGTGCGTGAGTCACGTGAGCACAAAACTTCCACTCAAACACTACTGCCAGAATTAATACCCAAAGCGTGACTAAACATACAAATGGAGTAGAAGTACTGGTGTGCTCACATATGCATATATATTCAACGTTATATTTTGCTAAGTGTGTGTATGTATGTGTGACAGCATCATCCAGAGCCCGACAACGAGCAGAATTAAATTATACTTGAAGTAATTCGCTTGCAAAGATAAATTATGTATATCACCTCCCATTTGTTGAGCACCTTCCGGCGGATATTAGCAAATACAACATTTATTTAATCAAATTTAGAAGCATCGTCTCTGCCAAGTCGACTTCGTTTGTCAAACAGCATGCAGCATTCAAGTACACTTGGCGCAGAAGTGTGTGTTAGTACTTGGTAACACACTTGTATTAGACGTATGCATGACATATGTGCCACTAACAGACTGCATATGCTTATGTGAGTGTGGAGCAGCCTTCTAGAGAGGTCGAAGCCTGAATGTCGTGATTTTCACTTTTAGCTCGCATATAAAGTTATGTATCATAGGAAATTTTGTGTAAATCGAAGTTAAGTGTGGAAGGTGTCTTCAAAGACTCTC